TATACCTCTGGGCGAAATTAGATCTCAACGGCTGAGATTCGTTGGATCTTACGGTCCCTGTTGACACCGTTTGGAATTCAACGGGCATCCCCAAACGGTACCGTTTTAAACTTGACGGTTCGTTTTTAAATTTGCCCGTTTAACTGTTACAGTTACCTTTTTACGGCTGCATTTATTGCGCACGTCATTCCATGGACAACTGTCACACCACGTTGTCAGGTTTTCCAGATGGCCCCACCTACGCCCATTTTGACACCTCCATTCACTTGTGCATATTCTCAAATATACAAGTGTTTCACCTCGGCTTCAACTACAATAATGCTTCATTACATTTCACCTCGGCTTCGGTCACAGCAACCCAATCTCACACATTTTACTTCGGATACGAGTATTATGACCTCAGTTATTATATTTTATTATGGCTCTAGCTAATTTTACTTCTTTATTCATATTTTTATTTTGTTATATTTTATTCTGTCTTTATGCTTCAGTATAACTCAGCACTTCTGTTTACTTTTATAATTATAATTGTTAACTACTTTACTTCGGCTACGGCCACAGTGACCCAGTGTCACACGTTTTACTTCGGCTCCGGCCCTTATGACTCCGATCATCATGTTTTATTACGGCTCCGGCCCTTATGACTCCGGTCATCATGTTTTATTACTGCTCCGGCCCTTATGACTCCGGTCATCATGTTTTATTACGGCTCCGGCCCTTATGACTCAGGTCATCATGTTTTATTACGGCTCCGGCCCTTATGACTCAGGTCATCATGTTTTATTACGGCTCCGACCCTCATGACTCCGGTCATGATTTTCATCACGACCTTCGCTTTTATAACTCCAGTCATTATTTTTTATCATGCTCTTGACTACGTTATGACTCCGGTCATCATCTTTACAATTTCTCACTCCGGTCATGATTGCTCTGGTTATACTTTATTTACAGCACCTCACTATGACCCATTGTTACATCTCTTATTATTAACTACAGCTATGTTTAAATTCAAAATACATTCTTTATTCTCTTTGTTCATACACTCCCCTTCTTATCCCCAACAACATCATTCACAAGTGAATGACTTCCGGGGGGGAATAGTGTAAGGACAGGGCCGAGGTGCCAAACCTCGGACTGCTACAGTAATTTCTTTAT